TCATCAGGTAGTCGACCATCCGCATGATGGACTCGTAGTGCGTCACCCCGAAGTCATCGCGGGACAGCCGGTAGTAGGACACGAACTGGTGGAAGTGCTCGATGGCCCCTCCGCGCTTCCTGTCCAAGAAGCGGAGGCACCATAGCGTGGTCCTTGGGCCGTCCAGCGGCCAGTCGGGGAAGGGCTCCTCGCGGAGCCTGTCGACACTCTCGTGGAACTGCACGCGCTGCCGCGAGCCGTCACTAAGCAGGGCCACAGGCTGGAGGCGGGCATCAGCGAGGGCCTCGGCGCCTCGGTAGGCGGCCTGCGAGGTCGTGGTCAGCCGGATGGCCGACCAGCTCCCGCCAGCGTCCTGCTTCAGGCCGATAGCCCCCCGGACGAGCTCCGTCCCGTCCATCGTGACAGGGTCCCCGCGCCGGGCCGCCGTCGTGGTCTCGACGTAGACCCACTGTCCGTCAGCCCCAGGCACGGCATTCGGCCCCAAGGGGCCTGCGGGAGCTCCAGCAGCGGCGAGCGGCGCGGCTGCTGCCGCAACTGGGGCGGCACCAGCAGGCGGTCCAGCCGCGGGCGCGGCGGGGCCAGCCGGCACCACAGCCAGCGCGGCGGCCACAGCTGCCCCTCCCCCGGCGGCAGGGGCGGCGGGGGCGGGCCCAGGCGCGGCAGCGCCACCAGCCGCGGCCGCTATAAACAGCTCAGCCCTGCAGAGCAACGCCCTCCGGGGCACCACCACGGCCGCCCAGGCCGACGCGCATCCGCGTCGAAAAAAGGAAACACGTCGCGGTACGTAATAAAAGTAAAAAAAAAAAACAATAAAATAAAATAGTATAGTAAAGACCCCGCGGACTCACATGTCCTGCACCTATGGCCACCTCCTCGGCTACGGCGTCGCGCGCGCCGGAAGCGGTCGAGGTTCCCAACCTCCAGGCCAGGGCTGGCCGGGGTGCGCCGGTTCGTCTCGAAGCGAACCGCTACTGCAAAAAGTCCCATCACCAGGTCGTACCAGGCTTCTCGTATTTCAAATAGCGACACATCATACCCCGAATCGTTGGTTCTGAAGATCGCAGGGACAGGTGCAAAACAAAAAACAACATCAACTCGCAACAAGGCGAAAAAAAAGAAAAAATCATCAAAAACCATGCTCAACCCGGCAGGGGGGACCCAGCGTGGCATCAGTCGGATCCTGAAACACCCGGCCCCACACGCGCCGCTGATGCCACAGCGGCGCGCCGGCGTACTGCGCCCACGCCCAACGGCGCACCCCCGGCGGCGCCTGCTCCTGCGCCATCCTTCAGGGCGGCGGGCGTCGGAGCCGGCCGCAGCCTCACCACGGCCGAGCCGACCAGCCTCACCCCGTGGAAGCTGAAGACCAGCAGGTTGAGGGCGACCAGGAAGCAGGCCAGCCACCCGCCCGTCCAGGAGAGGCCCTCAGGCTCCTGGGCGACCGGCTGGGGCGCGGGCGCGGGCGCCGGCGCCTCTGGAGCCGCCGGACAGGCGGCCGGCGGGTGGAAGTGGATCGGCGCCGCCGCTGGGCAGGCTGGGCACGCCGGCGGCTGCGGGCAGGCGGGGCACGCCGGGCAGCGGGCCGACCAGCTCACGACCGTCTGCGAGACGGCGCCGACGAGCCAGTCCAGGTACCGCTGGCCAAACAGCCAGGCCATGGGGAGCGGGGGATGCGTCTCCCGGCGCGTCCGCGCCGGTGTCAGCTTGAGCACAATCGGTAGCGGGCGTGCTGTGACGCGCGGCCCCCTGTCCTCAAGGCACTCTCAGAAAAGATTCACATGCACGCATTGCCATATATATGTATGTATGTGTGTGTGTGTTGTTGATATCCCCCTTATGGCGCACACTGTATGTGTCCAATTGAAGCGTCCCTCCTGGAGCTTGCACCCTGTTCTATTTATGATGGAGAGGTTTTGAATGGCACACTGGCCCCCTGGCCCCCGAACTGTTACAACAGCAACGGCTGCAGCCTTCTACTTCCTCACGATGTATTCCAGAATCGCGCTCTTGCGCGGATTTTCTTCACAATGCATGCACGAATCGCGCTCTTGTGCGGCACGCCCTCGCAATTTAATCAAACGCCGCGCTTTCGACACTCAGGAGTCGCGCATTCGCTTTCGCTTCTCACGCGATTCACTTGGGAATCGCGATACCCCCCGAGACTTCCTCGCGATCCATGCAGGACTCACGCTTCAGCAACCCGCCTGCTCGACCTGGCCGCAAAGCCCGCTTACCCTACCCGCCCGCCAGGGTTTGCCGGCCCGATCAGCCCGTCTGGTTCTGCCGCATGCTTTCTGTTCTAAGCCCGCCTCCCGCCAATCTTTCTCGTGTTCCATCCTTCTCTCTCCCCGTTCCATCCGTCCTTTCTTCCCTTGTTTTAAAAGCTGCACTCAATGCGCGTGGCAGATAAGGAAGATACACCTCCAAGAAGGCACAATCAAAGACGAACATGACGGGTACCCAGATTTGGGATATACGTGTCGAATGGCACGCGAGCACGAAAGTCGAAACATGATGACTGTTGTCATCGTTATTGCTGCTGTTATTGAACTCTCGCTACTGGAGAAGAATCATTGTTGATTCCCCCCCTCTGGTGACCATTCTATTTCCTAAATTGAAGTGCTTCACCCGGGGCTCGCAACCTGTTCTTTTCATCAGGAAGGTCACAAGGCTCACGCTGTGTCGTTGGCCCCCGGCTTACAACAACAGCGGCTCCCACCTGATAATTCCTCACAGCGTATTCCCAAATCGCGCTCTCGCGCGGAACTTCATCGCACCTTATTCAGACGATGCGCCCTCTGCGGTCAGGACTCACGCTCTCGCTTTAGCTTTTCTCACGATTTACTTGGGAATCGCGCTATCGCTCGAGACTTCCTCGCGAGACCCACGCTTCAGCAACCCGCCTGCTCGACCTGGTCGCCTGGGCTCGCCTTCCCAACCTGCCCGCTATGGGTCTGCCCGCCCGATCTACCCGTCTGCTTCTACCACTTGTTTTCTGCTCCCTGCCATCCTCCTGCAAACTTCTCTCGCGTTCCGTTCTTCTCCCTCCCCCTACCACCCGTCTTCTCTTCTCTTGCTGTGGGGCTTCACTAAATCCACGTGGCCGGTAAGGAAGACATAACCCCAATGGGGTACGATCGAAGACGACGAGGGCAGGTACCGAGGGCCTGGGATATACGAATCGATTGGCATGTGAGTGGATAGGAGCGAACAGTGTCAAAGTGATTGTTGTTGTTGTGCCTGCTGCTGTTGTTGCTGTGGCTGGTGTTGGCGTTGTCGCCCTCGCACGCACCCCCCCCGCAACCTCCCAGCGACCAACCCCGCGCCCTGCCCCCTCACTCTGATCCGCAATTGCGGGGTGATGCGTACTGGTCCCTCCTCTGACCTCAGGGCGGCCGCAATGGACGCGAACGCCGCATCCGCGCTGACAGCGGGCGCATAATCATCCTGCTGCGCGCGCTGCCGCTGCTGCCGCTCAATCGGCCCGCGGCTGTCCGTCGCTGGGCAGGGGCAAAGGCGGTGGTGCCGAGCGAGCTGCTCGAGCGGGGTCGCTGTGGGGGCCATGCGTGACTCCCCTGCGCACGTGGCAGCATCCTCTGTGCTCAGGGGGAGGCCGCAGCACAGCCCAAGGATGTACTGTGTGGTTAGCGGCTTCCCAGATGGGGTCCGAGCAGATGGGGTCTGAGGATCGTGCCGCATTGGCGATACATACATCGCCGATCAATTGCCGATGCATCGGCGATGCATCGGCAACATCGGCGATGCATCGGCGACGCCGGCGTAGAGAAAGTCGAGCGCCACATCGAAGCGCATCGGCGATGCATCGGCGATGCGGTCCGACCCTCCGACCCCATCTGCTCAGACCCCATAAACAGGAGGCATTAAAAACAAGCCCCGCAAGGTCGCCGGGTGGGCCCTCTCCCGAACCCGTGCTCCAGAGCGGAGCAGGCGCGCGCGGAGATTATGCCGCAGCCGCAACAAAAGGCCGCCGCTGTCTGGGGGGTCCCAAAACCGTGTGGTGACAGACCACATGGTGACCTCTGGAGTCCAGCAGACCTCTCCGCACGGTCCGCCACCACACGGCTTCTGCTGGGACTGGAAGCCTCGGCCGCCCCGAGCCGTCCTCGGAGAACGACCCGAGCCGCGCCGTGACCACGGCTCCCCGCGGACTCACCACCGCGCCGTGACCACGGCTCCCCAGCACCGCGCCGTGACTCACCGTGCCGTGGTGAGCCGCCCCAGCACCGCGCCGCGACCACGGCTCCCCGCGGACTCGCCACGCGGGGTGGTCACCACGCCGCGAGCGGGGGGCCCCCCGAGCTGTGCGAGCAGCCTCGGCGGCAGTGCCGGCCCCCCGCCGGCGCTCGGCGGGCGGCGCCCGCCCGCCCTGGCCCGGCGGAGCAGGGCCGCAACCGAGCTCGCCTGCCCCGATTGTCGCGGCGCGTGCGCACCCGCATGCGTGCGCGCTGGGGAGGGAGGAGGTGGCAGATGAGCGGGAGCGAGTAGGGAGGAGGAGGGGGACGAGGAGGAGGGGTAGAAGCAGATGGGAGTGGAGGGTACGGCATCTCTGGTGGGGCAGCAGACGGAGGAGGGAGCGACAGAGAGGAAAGGAGGGAGGAGGAGAGATGAGGTAGATGAAGAAGGGGGGAAAAGGGAACGAGGACGGAAGAGGGAGAGGAGGATGGGAGCGGAGGAAGGGCGAGGGGAGAGGATGAGGAGGGGAGGAGGAATAGGAAAGAGGAAAGGGAGGACCAAGAAAACAAATTCGAGGGAAGCGATGAACGGGTTAGTGCATCAATTACAATCACACCTATACGGGAGACGGAGGAGAAGAGGCCATAGGGAAAAGAAGAGGAGGGACAAGGGAAGGCGAGGAAGAAAGATCAGGAAGAGAGGATGGAGGGAGGATAACTGAAAGGGAAGAATGGGCAGGAGGGCGAGGAGGCCGAGGAAACAGATGCGGAAAACGACTACCGAAGAGACGGGGCAAGCACTCAATTTTCGCGGCACAGGGCTCATCTGGCATGGCTGGCTACTTTCCTGCACGTCACAGCCCCTGGCCAGAAGCCAATCTGCGTTCTGGCGTTGGTCGCGTTCGGAGGCAGCTGGGCACACACTCTGAGAGCAAAATTGTACTCAAACTCGCCGCAAAAAGACCACTTATCCCCGCACTGCCGTCCGCACTCCTCAATGGTGTTGGACACTCTGGTATTGATCCGCTCGGCGACCGTATTGTCGTGGTACATGCCCACCTGCTCGAAACCCTCTGGGCACGCCGCCGGCGGTTCCAACCTGCAGGGCATGCCCTTGTTGGGCCTTCCGGGGATGTAGTACCACATGAACTCGAGGAACGCGCTGGAGATGGGGAACACCTCAAGCTGGCGTGATACACAAAGGGGTCCATGACACCAGAGAATTCCCAGGGACAAGAGTTTGATGGACCTGTGGCCCAGCACGGGCCCCGACAGCCACAAAACAGCAAACAAGCATCCATCCAATACCCCTCCTCTCTATGCTGCTCAGGCATGTCAACTATAGTGCAACACCACGGCTTGCCAGACAGAATCATGCGCCACGGAACTGTGGATAGGCGCATCCTGGCCGCTGGCTGCGGTCAGAGCAAAGGGATCGACCTGGCCAAATTTTGGCGTAGGCTCAGAATGTGAATGCCCCTCACGTAATGATCCCCCCTGGCGATCGACTACATCCCGGCAAACGCCCCCCCCCCCCCCCCCCCACTTTTGGGAATGAAAGCGCTGATGATGGGGGGATGGGTGGTTCTCTGCGACGTCGGCGTGGAAACCTCGGACTGCACATCTAGCCGCATCTTCGCTGTATCGGCGATGCGGCGCGACCCTATCTACTCTGATCCTATCTGGGAGGCCTGCAATGTTTGGGGTCACCCAAACCACCGCACGGTTCACCAACGACAACAATGTCTTGTAGAATTCGACCGGGCGCTGCCGAATCCTCTCGCGGGACAGCGCGAAGCGCGCGCCCTGGGAGTAGAGCTTCGTCTCGCGGCCCTCGCCCAGGAAGTCGACGAAGGCCAGCAGGGCCAGCATCACCTCCGAGCTGCCCCAGTACAGGTCAAACTCGGCGCCCTTCAGCGGCACACACGTCGTGTTCAGGCGCTCCATCACCCTGTCCACATCTCGGTTGTAGTTTCCAGCGAACGCCATGCGAACCTTCTCCCAACCTTCTGCTCCGACCACGGGGGGCTTCCAATGGCCATTGAAGATGAATCGTCCGCCATAGCTGTCCCCGCCCTCTGCGTCGAACGGCCCTCCGCCTAACACGTAATCATGAAATGTAGCCCCTGGGTACATGTGGCCGTTCGCATGGTCGCCCTCGGTTCCGCTGTAGCCAGCCGTTGGAGCCTGGCCCTGGGTGAAGACTGTCCAGTCTGCCAATGCGTCGTAGTTCGTGATGATGTGGTTCAAGAAAGTGTGTCCCTCGCGCCCGACATTTCTTAACGAGTGGCAATTGGCAGGGCGCTGAGGGTATCTCAGTTGGAGCTCGTCTCCCTTGCAGTAGTATGTCGCCAAACCCTCGTACATCTCCATCCAGGCGACGTCCTCATCGTAGTGGGCGACGACAATCTCGACCTCTCTCTTGCTGATCGACCCGTTGCGGATCGCGCGCAGGGTGGCTTTCTGGGACCTGGAAAGCATTGTGAGCTCTCTCGTCAAAATGCCACTACTAGTTCTGTCGTACTTCGCCCCATCCCAGACTGGCGGAACCAAGGCTTTGATGTTTTCCCTGCGGTAAGGGGCCCCGGTGGGCAGCGCCCACCGGATACCACGATCCTCCGGCGCAGCCCTATCAGGCGGCGTCCTGTGGGGGGACATCAGCGACGTGGAGACCCTTCCTTTGCTAGCGAGGTCATGCCAACTCGGAGGTACGCAGGGTGAAGGGGGAGACAACTTTGGAACGGTGGCAAGGTCGGTGCGCTCGCATCGGTCCAACATCCTGCCCCTCTGGCCATCCCTTCACATTGCGCTCTGCAGAACGCGGAGGGTCTCCGTGCTGAGTGTCACGGGAGGGGGGGGCCTTCATTGTCGAGTGTGGAGTGCGAGGCGGGGCTTAGATGTCGATTTCGTGGAGGAGCAAGAGGGGAGGGGAAAAGGATGGGGCTTACGAGGAGACGAGGAACAATAAGCAGCTCCCATCTTCTGGCAGTGAGTGACGGAATCAATGCCTTTGGGCTGCCAGCCTTCTTCGCCCTTGTCCTCCCCCTCCTCTTCTCCTCCCACTCCTCTATCATTCCTTCCACTCTCTGTCACCTCCTCCCCCTCCTTTTCTTCCCCTCCCCCTCCCCCTAGTCACCCTCCTCATCCCTCTCCTCCTCTTCCCCGCCCTCCATCGCGTCTTCGGTTTGCACCCTGCCCCCCCTCCTCATCATGAGCATTATCCTCTTTCCCTCGTGGAGCTCCTCGTCAGGTCGTGGTTCCTGGTGATCCGCCAGGCGGGCTCTCCTCCCAGCGGCACGGACCAATGGGACCGCGAGGGGCCAGAGGCCTTTCAACACAGGGTCTCCACCTCGCCTCTTGGGCGGGGAACGTATAGCTTGGAAGGGTCGCCCTCCTGGAAGGGTTTCCCTTCCCAAACGCCCCCCCCCCACCTCCCCGTCCAGCAGAGCCCCCCTGCCTCCGTGGCGAGCCGCCCCTCCCCCGTCGCCTCGCTTCGCTTGCCCGACCGCCGCGCCGAAGTCGTGTCTTTTCGCGACTGGGCCCCCATGAGCACCCCACCCATGTGAACATTCGGGCGGGCGGAAGGGTGGGCGACGCGGGGGGTCTGGTTCCGGACCTTTGCTTCACGCCACTGCTTGCAAAAGTGTGTTTTGTCGGGGAGACCCCACCTGCTCGAAACAGGCGCCGAAAACACCGGGGACATACTCCAGGGGGGGGGGGGGACGAGGGCCCGCGCCGATCGGCAGAACAACGAATCCGCCGACCCTGTCGGCGTTTGTGGGGTGTCTGTCTGGTCCCGTCGACGAGAAGCTCTATTTCGCCCCATCCTTTCCATCCTCCTCTCCCGTCGGGGGGGAGAGAGAGAAAGAGAGAGAGAGAGAGAGAGAGAGATAACAACAAAAAGAAAGAAAAAACACCATTCCCCTATTGGGAACCAGGTTCGCAGCTTGTTGGGATTTCATCCACGTCCTCATTACGTCAGAGGAAGAACCTCTTCCCTCTGCCCCTTCCCCAGCAGGGGGACTCGGTCTCTTTACAACCCGAACGACACATTACAACCGGTATAGGTCGTTTTACAACCAGCAAGAGATCGAATTCCCTCGTTTTCCTCTGAGAGCGGCCACTTTACAACCATTACAGCCCACTGTACAACGAGAACGACCACATGACAATCCATACGGGGCTCTTTCTTTGCAACCAGAACGGCCACTTTACAACCAGCCTTCAGAAGCGCGCGTGCGCTCTGCAGGGGCTTCTGAAGCTTCTGAAGCGTCTGAGCGCTCTGCAAGAGGCACCTGAGCGCCTTAGCGCTTTCCAAAGGCTTCTGAGCGCCTGGGCGCTCTGCAAAGTCTTTTGAGCGCCTGAGCGCTCTGCAATCTTCTGAGCGCCTGAGCGCTCTGCAGAGGCTGCTGAGCGCGCGAGCGCTCTGCAGAGGCTTCTGCGCGCGAGCGCTTTGTAGAGGCTTCTGGGCGCCTGAGCGCTCTGCAGAAGCTTCTGAGCGCCTGAGCGCTCTGCAGAGGCTTCTGAGCGCTTGGGCGTTGTGCAGAGGCCCCCGAGCGCCCGAGCGCTTTGCTGAGGTTCCCGAACGCCTGGGCATTTTGAAACTTCTTGCGAAGCGAATGCGCGCACTGCTTGCGATGCAAAACATACAATTTGAAATCCGCATGCGTTGGCCAGAATTTTACCAACGATTTCCTGGGCACGTTCCGCCCTCCTGGGCACGCATGCGCCCGCAACTGCGCAAACGCACGGTTCTGCGACTGCCAGACGATGGGGCGCGATGATAAACATGGCCGATGAGGAAACAAACCACGTTCGAAATCCACACCCACTGGTGACAAATTTAGAAACGATTCCTGTGCCAAATTTCTGTCCTCTGGGGTGCGCGCGCCCCCTCGACTGCGAAAGCATGCAGTTTTGTGATTGCCAGACGAAGAAACACGAGAGCGGAGTTGTCTGTGAGCCCGAAAACAACAATTCGGCATCCACACGTAGTGGCTCGAATGTCACCATCGATTTCTAAGCGCAGCTTCAGTTTTCCTGGGCGCTCATGCTCGCAAAAGAGAAACACGTGGGGTGTTCGCGAATGTCAGGCGATTAGGCGCGAGGACAGACATGGTCTATGATGCAAAAAAACCGCAACTTGAAATCCACGTGTGTTGGCCAAGATGTTGCCGTCGATTCCGTTTCCCCATATCCGCCCTCCTGGGTACGCATGCGACCGCGAATGCGAACGCATACGTTTTTGCGATTGCCAAACGACGAGGCGCGAGGACTACAATCGCTTGCGAGGCCAAATACACACATTGAGATCCACATGTATCGGCTAGAACTTCTCCGTCGATCTTGCCAACCTGTCTGCCCCCGTGAGCGCGCATGCCTTCGCAATCACGAATACCTAACGCTGTCTTGTGCTATTGTGAGACGATGAGGCGCGCTGGCAATGTGGTTTTGATTCAAAAGACAAACATGTAACATTTGACAGCCGCGCGTGCTGGCTAGGATGCGCATGCTTCCGCATATGCGAAAACAAACGTTCGCGTCGTAGCCCGACCATGAGACGCGAGGGCCAAACATGTTCGTGATGCAAAGATATGCACTCAGACTGTATTGGCTAGAGCTTTACCAACGACCACTTGGCCGCGTCCCCGCCCTCCTGGAAACGCGCGTGTTCCTCTGCGTTTTTTTTGTTGCGGCGAGATCTTATCCCATTTTTTCCTATCCCCAAAGTAGGCCGGATTTTCAGGCAGAGGTTATGAGGCCCCCAAGATATGTAGGGCGAGGGCATGGATGTAAAAAGCGTGAACCGCCCAGCCCTGTCAACAGCCCGTAGCGGGAGGATCACTATTGGATCTCAATTGGGTTCCAAGAGCTCCTTTTGGATGCCACGAGGGTAATAATGGGAAGCCCATCGGGGCACAGTATGACTCAAAAATGATACGTTGCTGTGGAGTTACATTTGGTTCCGGGGAGATTTCAGCCGCGTGCCCGCAAGGGTCGAGAAAGAGGGGTTCCGATTGCATTCCAATGCGATCTCCTTCGTGCTCGCCAATCTGGTTCTGATGGGATTTCAAGAAGGACGTATGTAGGTTTCTCGATTGTAATCCCCTGAGGGTCCCAATCGGTTTCCATTGGCGAGGGCCCCAGCGGGTTTCAACAGGAAGCGTCGCCATCGGATTCTAATAGGGCGCCCGTAGGCCCCGTATCAACGAATCTCGTTGCACACCCATGGCTGGGACTCATCTGGTGCCAACAGCATCCCAGTCGGCAGGGTGCCAATAAGTTTCCATTCGGACTTTTGTTGGGCCCCAGTAAGAATCCGCCGCTTCGCAGACGCTCGCTTCAGACGGGTCACCCTGCAACCGGCGCGCTTCAGGAACAGAGAATGTCTCCCTTACGCGGGCCCGCGGTGATCTCGGAAAACGAAGAACATGCGTCGCCCATGTGCATTTAATCGCCTGGTTGTAATGCGGCCTTCCTGGTTGTAAGGTGCCCTTCTGGGAAAACCCATGCTGGTTGTAAAAAGCCCCATCTGGTGGTGAAATGGCCAGTCTGGGGGGTTCACATTCGCGTCGCCTCTGGGGTCCCCCTCTCCCGCGCCAGTCCTTCTCCGGCGCAGCGGTCCTCCTCGGGCCCTCTTCCCTACTGATGCGCCCATCGGCACTTGAACGACATATAAGACTATTAGTAATGCGAAGGTAAAACAGATTGAACTTAGGAAGCCTAGCTCAATTCTATATATATGTGCTTGCATTTTTATCTTGAGTAGTGCTGAATAAGATCTCATAAGTTTCCTAAGTTCTGGGGCTGCGATGCGCGTCGAGCGGTTCCCCGCTGAAATCGCACGGGGCGGCAGCACTTCTGCGAAGTCTGGCTTGCCTTTGGAAGAAGCGGAAGGCGGGCCCCTGCCCGCCAGGGGGCCCCGAAGGGGCCCCGCGTGGGCCGCGTCGTCGTCGTCGTCGTCGTCGTCGTCTTCAGCTGGCGTGGCGGTGGACATGCAGGTGCACCTGGCAGAGCGAGAAAACACAGAAACGTCGTCATCGTCGCCGTCGCTCCCTCCTCCTCCCTCTTCCCGCCTCGACTCCTCGCATCCCTCCCCCATGCGCCCGCCCCCCCCCCCCCCCTCCCCCCTCCCGCTCGGGGCGCGCGCGGGTGTCGGGGCCGACTCGCAAAACCCTCCGTCGCCCCATCCTTCCCCTTTCCGCGGTCGCGCACGGCTCGCTTTGTTCGGCTGGTTCTCGGCCTCGACTGCGCGCAGAGCGATGGCCTGCGACGCGGCTCCCCGCTTCGCCCTGCCGCCGCACGCGGCGTCGCTGCACGTCTTGGACTGGCGATCGGCGTCGCCTCCAGTTCCAGCGCTGAACGACGAGGCGGCGTGCGAGGCGTACATCGGGTGGCAGCGCCAGTGGGCGGCCGTGTTCGAGCGCGACTGCGCTCGTTTCTGTGGAGTGGAGCACGCGCCCCGGTGGCCAGACTTCGTGGAGAACGCGCTCCCCGCAGACATCGACAACATGAACGAGTGCGCGCCGCCGCCTCTCGAGGCCTTCAGCCGGCGCCAGCAACCGACGCCAGCGGCCGACGCCAGCAGCCGGGGCCAGCCGCCGCCGCCAATAGCCCACGCCGGCAGCCCACGCCAGCAGCCGACACCCAGTCGACGCCCGAGGCGACGCCCGAATTGCGCATGGCCCGAGGGTTCAAGAGGCCCGCGCCGACGCCAGCCGCCACCGCCAGCGCCCGCGGCGCCAGCAGCCAGCCGCCTACACCAGCACAGGCGGCGCCAGCAGCCGAGAACATCGCGGGCCAGCCGCCGGCCGCCAGCGCCCCGGGCGGGCCGCCAGCCAGCGCAGACGACAGCAGCGCGGGCCAGCCGCCAGCCGCCTACACCAGCACGGGCGGCACCAGCAGCTCGGGCGAGCCGCCGGCACAGACGCCAGCCGCCTACGCCAGCACTGACGCCAGCAGCTCGGGCGAGACGCCAGCACAGACGCCAGCCGCCTACGCCAGCACAGACGCCAGCAGCTCGGGCCAGCCGCCACAGAGGCAGCAGCGTGCCATGCGCGAGCGGCAGGTACGGGGCCCGCGGCGGGACGCGCAACCCGAACGCGCAGTGGCGCTCGGGTCTCGCGCAGGCCACGCGCGAGGGGCGGGCGCGTGAGTTTCGGGCAATGTGCCCGAAACCGCAGAAGCAGGACCGCGGTTGGACTTTCTCGTTGCTCGGCGCTGATCGGCTCGGCCCCTTTGGCGCTAATTTCCCAGCGTGCTCAGCGGTGTAATATCGCGTTCGC